ATTATTTTTATTAACAATTTAAAATAAGACATTAAGTATTTTTGTCATTTACCTTTTTAATTAATAGACTTTTTGAGCAATTTTAGGTTTACAGAAAAATTGAGCAGAAAATTCTCATAAAACCCTCACACTGCCCTCTTCCTCTTCTCTCTTTCCCTATTTTTAACATTTTGCTTTAGGGTGCTGTATTTGTTACAGTTGATGAACCAGTATTGGCACATGTTATTAACTGAAGTCCATAGTTTACATTAGGGTTCACTCTTTGTGTGGTACATTCTATGGGGATTTTGACAAATATATAATGACATGTATCCACCATTATGGTATCATACTAAGTAGTTTTACTGTCCTAAAAATTCTCCGTGCTTCATCTATTTATCCCTCCTTCTCCACGTAATCCTAACAACCACTGATCTTTCTATTGTCTCCATAGTTCTGCCTTTTCCAGAATGTCATATAGTTGGAATCGTACAGTTTGTAGCTTCTTCAGATTGGCATCTTTCATTTAGTAATCTGCATTTGAGGTCCCTCCATGTCTTTTCATGGCTTGATAGGTCATTTCATTTTTGTGCTAGGTAATATTCCATTGTCTGGATGTACCTCAACTTATTTATCAATTTACCTAATGAAGGACATCTTAATTGCTTCCATGTTTTGACATGTTGAATAAAATTGCTATAAACATTTGTGTACAGGTTTTTTCTATGTACATAAATTTTCAACTCTTTTGTGTAAATATCAAAGAACTTGATGGTTAGATCATATACTAAGAGTGTGTTTAATTTTGTAAGAAACTCCTAAACTGACTTCCAAAGTGGCTGCACCACCAGCCACTTTTATTTCCACCAGCAAGGAATAAAAGTTTCTGTTCCTCCACATCTTTGTCAGTATTTGGTGTTGTTTGTATTTTGAATTTTAGCCATTTAATAGGGTATCTTGTTTTAATTACAATTTTTCTAATAACATATGATGTTGGAACATCTTTTTTTAATTGTTTAATTTATTGATTTTAGAGAGAGGAAGGGAAGGAAGAGAGAGACCCGGAGAGAGAAACATTGATTTGTTGTTCCATTTATTTATGCATTTGCTGGTTGCTTCTTGTATGTGCCCTCACAGGAGACGGAACCAGCAGCCTTGATGTATCAGGATGATGCTCTAACACAGTGGTTCTCAACCTGTGGGTTGCGACCACTTTGGCGGTCGAACGACCCTTTCACAGGGGTCGCCTAAGACCATCCTGCATATCAGATATTTACATTACAATTCATAACAGTAGCAACATTACAGTTATGAAGTAGCAACAAAAATAATTTTATGGTGGGTCACAACATGAGGAACTGTATTTAAAAGGCCAGAAGGTTGAGAACCACTGCTAACCAATTGAACTATTTGGCTAGGGCTGATGTGAAACATAACTTTTCATGTGCTTATTTGACATCTCCTTTGGTGAGGTGTATATTCAGATTTTTTGCCCATTTTTAAATTTGGTTGTTTTCTTATTATTGAATTTTAAGAGTTTTTTGTGTATTTTGGATACCAGTCCTTTATCATACATGTATTTATTTGCAAATATTTCCTCCTAGTCTGTGGCTTGTCTTTTTATAACCTTAAACTTTTTCTCTTTTGATGTACTTCTTTTAACACCCAATAACTTCATAAGTCAACTTGGAATTTTTTTCATTTAAAATAAAGAGCAAATTAAAATAATTAAAAATGAAAGTTGTTTAAATTTGCTGAGTTTATTATTCTTAGGATATATAAGGCCTTTCAGATTGCTGGGCTGCAATAACCTCATTTACTCTATCAGAAACATAAATGCAATTTTTCAATAAAGAGGGTGCAAAGAAGACAGTCCACCATTGTTTGGTTTTCTTGGAAAGGGAAAAACAACCTTTCAGGTTTGACTGTTAATAGTGAATATAGTTCCATGAACTGCAAGTGCCTTTGAGTCAGAGGCATGTCTTAAAAACTTGTAAGAAACAGCAAACAAGCCTAAAAAATGTTAGTCTAGTCAGGCTGGTGTGGCTCAGTGGTTGAGCACTGACCCATGAACCAGGAGGTCAAGGTTCAATTCCTGGTCAGGACACATGTCTACCATTCACTGGCAGCATCTTTCTCATCACAGTGTGCAGAAGTGTGCTGAAGCTGCCTCTGGGCTCCATGGTATGGTTTGCCATGAGCAAAGGGGGCCAGTATAGCCTCAAGCTCATGATCGCCTTGCTCCATCGAGTCTTATATCCTCACTCAAGAATGAGAAAATAAAGGCCCAAATATCTTAACACATTGCGTACCAGTTTTATTACTAACTTGACCCAGTGACCAGATAAGTTTCTATTGAACGAGTATAAAAAAACGTTTTACAAAGTATCATACTTTAAAAAGATATTAGCTTGTAAGAACATGTAATAACTTCAAAATGCAATGGGTATTCAATTTTAAGGCGTGCCTTTAAAATTTATGTAAAATACTGTGTAATATGAAAACACGAGAATGCTCGTGATCCGCCCGCAATGTGTTTAAAAGGCTTTTCTAATGTCATCCAGCTAGCTGCTTGATTGTGGTGGTGATATTTAGCAGATAGGAATTTCATTGTTTACATATAACCATCAAAAAACATCTTTGGTATGAAGAATGCACCACTAAGAGATTGTCTTAAGAATTGTTCTTAAGATTTAATGTATTAACAATGACAGATATGAAGATTGATAAACTGTGCATGCCAAAATAATAAGTACATATTCAGGAAAAGTGTTTAAAATATTCAGTAAGACAAAATCTATTCTGGTCAGGAGGTAACTATGAGTCATTAATAGAAATCAAATTGTGAGAAGCCAGAAAACTAAGAGCCACATAGAATAGTGGTCTGTGCTTGATCTAATCAATGTCACCTGTTAGACAAAAGGAAAAACACAGCAGCCAGAAGATAGCTAATGAAAACAACGCCCAAGGCAGCTGATGACATTAAAAAAAAGTCCTCCAGTGAGGGCCTGGCTGTGGACTGCTGGGTCAGAGGAGATGGGAGAAATGTGTATTTATTTGTGTTTGTTTTGTTTGTTTTTACTCATTGGGAAAGTACTTTGGCCAGACACTGATGTGTATTTGTGCGGTGTATGTGTAAATATTGTGGTCTAGCTAAAGCAAATTAAGTAGTAAGCAGGAAATTGATAGCTAAAGAAAGGGTGCATTGACACCATAAGAAGTGATATATGTGCTCCTACAGCAAAAATGCCTAGTTCTACATTGCATGCTCTGCCATCTGTCAGTCACTTAGGCTATAATAGCTGATGTTTGTGAAGTGCTTGATATGTGCTATCACTGGACCACATTTGAGTACATTATTTTATTTTAATGTCAATCGTTTCAAAAAAGTAGGCAGTATCGTACACATTTTTCAGAAGGTAAAACAGAGAAGTTCACATACCTGCAAGAGACATAATGAACACTCAAACCCAGAGTTACCTGTTTAAAACTGCCTCTCTCATCTAACTTCTCTGAATCTCTGTGTTCTTATCTGGTAACTGGAGATAATACCAATAGAAGCATTGGAAGAACCAATTTTTTTGTAAAAACTTTATAAATTGCTGAGCATTATTCAGAAATAATATGCTATTATCTATAAACAAGATTAAAACCAGTGAGCAGCATTTCATTATCATCCCACTTATTTCTATCCGTTGAACAATGTTATGTAGTTTTGCTAACATATAATTTATTTTCATACATGGTTAACATTTCTTCAAATACATCATTGATTATTTAGCAAGCTACAATTAAAGCTTTACTTTTCTGTCATAAATGTATCCTTTTTCATACATGGGTAACATTTCTTCAAATACATCATTGATTATTTAGCAAGCTACAATTAAAGCTTTACTTTTCTGTCATAAATGTATCCTTTTTCCTAAATAGTTATGTTTGAGGGGACTAAGTAATTAATTTCCAATATAATTATGGTTACATAGTAATACACACCACTTAGGGGTCTTCTGAATACTTATTATTTTGGCATGTACATTGTTGATCAATTTTCATATTTGTCATTGTCAATACATTAAAACTTAAAGACAAATATGCTTAATGTATTAGATTAGAAATCTTGGTACTACACACAAAAAAAATTAGTTTAGCTTAATTGTTGCCAGTTAATTCATTTTAAAATCCAAGGCCATGTTGGAAGACCTTTGAAGGATTAGATGAATATGATAATTGTGTATCACAGTAAATTAAACTGATGGATTTCCTCCCCCATATGACTACTTTTTTCCTTTCTCCAAATGTCTGCCTAATGGCCAAAAATATAACATATACATTTACATATTTTATTTATAAATGATAACTAAAACCTTTACATGTAATGGACATTTTGTTATATTGAGTAGGAAGAATGTTTCTCAAATTAGGAGAATATTGAATACTGTAATACAAAACTGAGGTTTGTAGCAAAAAAAACAAACAAAAATAATGAAGTTAGTTTAACAGGCTTTGAATTCATAGCTATAATTTTTAAGTAAGGATTGATAAGGGAAAGTTTTAAGGGGAGGTCTAAGACAAGGAATAGGGTTCATTCTTCTCAGGCTCAGAATCTGGTAATATGGGAATTAAGTTGGGGTTTGTTGAAACATGGCTTTTGTTGGTCCTTGAATACTCTCCTTTACTGTTGGGATTTTTATATTTCACAAGATATTTGGGGCCTCCAAGCACCACATCATTCCCAGCTACTTATGTTAGAAATTATCTTCAGGTTAGCTGTACTTACTCAGGGACCTTGATGATTTCTTGTTTATTGTAGGGACAGGCTGTTGCAGGTGTAGATCCACTTAACTGAGCCTTTGTCTTAGTGAAAAAGGAGATGGTGAAGTGTGCTCACACTTGGTCCTCCATCCATCACTTACTGTATAGTTACAGCAAGCAGGATTTTAAGATTTGCCTCTTTTTATTCATGGCAGTTGAGGGAACTTTGTTGAGTGTGTTGACTTCTCTTTATGTTCTGTTTTCCATAGAAACGCTCCAGAGGCCAAGTGCTGTTTGATAAAGTATGTGAACATCTGAACTTGCTAGAAAAAGACTACTTTGGGCTTACGTATCGAGATACTGAAAACCAGAAGGTGAGTAACTGAAAGCAGTGCAAAATACTAGGGCTTGAGCTGCTGCTCATTACTGCCAGAAAGTGAACTAGAATTGAATTGGTAAATCTACCCCACCTCTCCTCAAACTCCCACATTTACTACTGTGAGTCCCTAAATGCTACTGATCACCTTATTTCTTCATAAAGGAAATTATTAACTGCTTCCTTTAATCTCGAATATTGTGGAAACCATAAGACTATGTTTCTCTTCAGCTGTTTATGGTTCCAGGAAAGCATTTTATATGTGGCTTTTTTGTGATGATGTATTTCAGTATATATCATCTGATATATGAGCCAATGAAAATCAAATACATTGATACTTATATAGAAACCATGCTCGAGGCTGCTCTCCTATTCTTAATTCATCTTATTATGCTTTCTTATTCTTGCCAAATCAGAATATGAGATGAGTTGTTGGCTGACCTGACACTTGTCTCATGTAGTTAGTAGGTATTTAATGTTTAATGCAATACCTCTGTAGACTCTACTCTCTAATACCTGAACTAGTGGCCCGGTGCACAAAATTCATGCAGGGAGGGTGTCCCTCAGCCCAGCCTGCACCCTGGGACCCCTCGGGGGGTGTCTGACTGCCGAAATTCGTGCACGGGGGTGGGGGGGGGCTGTCCAGCCTGCAATCTGGAACCCCTCGGGAAATGTTCGACTGCCGGTTTAGGCCCGATCTTGCAATCCAGGACCACTGGCTCCTAATCGCTTACCTGCCTGCCTGCCTGATTGCCCCTAACCACTCTGCCTGCCGGCCTACTCTGCCTGCTGGCCTGCTCTCCCCCAAATCCCCCCACTGCCGGCCTGCTCACCCCCAACTGCCGTCCCCTCCTAGCCTGATCGCCCCAACCGCCTCTGCCTCAGCCCCGCCACCATGGCTTTGTCCAGAAGGTCTCCTGGTGTAATTAGCATATTACCCTTTTATTAGTATAGATAATGCAGTCTCTTCAGAGATTTACTTCATGAATCCCCACAACTACCTGAAAAACAAGGGAAAAGAAATTGTTTCCATTGTATTGGTGTAGAAACTGAGTCACAGAAATTTTGTTCACAGATGTTACATGTTTTGGTGGTGTGCACTGAATCATATCTCCTGGATTCAGTGGACAATGTCTAACTTCACTATCTGAGTGTTCTGATGAGGAAACTCTTACATCTCAAGCAAGCATTCATTTGTTAGGAAAGTTTTCTAAGTAGGTGCCTGAGAATTTGTAATCACCGAAGTCACTGTGTAGGACTGAATGGCTAGGATAACATTGTGTCAAATTACATGTATCTTTAGTTTATTCTAGTAATTTGTTTGAACATAAAATCCACTGGTTTTTGTTTTGGGTTTTTATCTACTCTGTTTCTCTGCTAGCTTGAGTCCCTGAAGTCATTGATTGTAAAAGAAAAGAACGTTGTTAGAGTGAATTGTGGACACCACATTTTTTTTCACTAGACCAGTGCCTGGACCCTCGCAGGACCTGGCAAAGGGGCAGCAGATGTGGGGGGAGGGCCCAGCGTGGAGGGCCTTCCAGCAGCCACTCACTCTCAAATACGCTGAGTGGGTGTCCCTGCCGGGTCAACATTAAGTCATGTTTACTCTTCTCTGATTCAAATTCAAGCTATCGTTTCCTTTTCAGAATTGGTTGGACCCTGCTAAGGAAATTAAAAAACAGATTCGAAGTAAGTTCTTTTGGATTATTATATGTGAAAATGTGAAGATTTTCTAAGAGTGGGGTTGTCTGAATTGGTAGCACATACTCGCATTGCTGGTGTGAATACAGTGTTTTGAAAAACAGAATAAAATCTCAAATTTTGTCTTTGGCAGGTTAGTCTAGCTCAGATCTTATTTTTGATTATCACAACTCAGAAGTAAAATAACTATGACTTTTGACTTATTCCCTTGCCTGTACACAGATGTGAAATGGGATTTAATCAAGTGATGCTCCAATTGGTACTTAATCATTTAAAAGTTCCCAACTTAATTATTACTGTTCCAAACTTTATTATTAAAAGTGAAGCAAAAGTAATAGTTATTTAATAATTTAGAAATGGAATAACAAGTGAGACTAAAGTTTACTGTGTGGTGACAACCTCTTTTCTTGGTCCCTAAAGACAAGGTGAGAAATGCATATTAGTGGATAAACCATTGCATGAGCAACTCAAAAAATTGAAATACAAGTAGCTAATAACTATTAAAAATGTGTTAAATCTTACTAACAATTAAATGCAAATTAAAATGAGGCATAGTTCACCTATTCAGAGTAACAAGAGATTTTTAAAGTTTAATGATACCTTGCGCCCTAGCCCATTTGGCTCACTGGATAGAGTGTCAGCCTACAGACTGAAGGGTCCCAGATTCAATTCTGGCCAAGGGCATATGCCCGGGTTGCAAGCTCAATCCCTAGTAGGGGGCATGCAGGAGGCAGCCAGTCAATGATTCTGTCTCATCATTGATGTTCTCTCTCTTCCCCTTCCTTTCTCCCTGAAATCAATAAAAATATATTTTAAAAAATAATAATAATGATAATAATACCTTGCACTGGCAATATGTAACCCAATTTGTAGAAATACAAATTGGTACAACCCTTTCAGAAGGCACTTTTTGAAAGTCTTTATAAAATTTAAAATGCACTTACTCTTTAGCCCCCTAATTTTACTTATAGAAATTTATTCAGCATATGCAGAAGAGAGGAAAATGCATGTACTGTATGAAAGTTCATTAGAATATAATTTGTAATAGCAGAAAACTAGAACCAACATAATTTATCCATTTATGAAGAAATTATTAAGTCACTCAGGGAATACCCATACCTTTAAATACTAAGCAGCTATTACATAGAATGAAGCAGAATAAATATGTCTTAGCTTTCATTAGTGAGACATTAATGAAACAAATCGTATTTTTTATTATTATAATATAAAAGTTTAATAATCTTGTGTGAAACCATTGACTGATATATTTAAATTAATTCTTCTTGGGAAATACACTATTCTTTATTATTTTTTAATTCTTCATTGTTTGAGACAAATCATATTTGTTTAAAAAAAGTTATGCATATAGAGGGGTGTGGAAAATTTTGGAAGAGCACAAAAGATATTAACAGTAAATACCTCCAGAAATGGCATTGCAGTGTTGGAGGGTAGAGAAAGAGGAATTTTAAAATGTTTATTTTTAACCTTTTTTTATTTTTTATTTTTAACCCTCTTGCTTTTACCATAAACATGGATAACCTTTATAATTTTAAATAACTACTTAGTGTTTTAAAGCAGTTATTTTTATCAGTCAAATCTAGATTAATTTTCCTGAACAACTAATTTTAGTTATTAATTTAAGACCAGCTTATTAATAACAACATTCACATTGAGTTTTCCACCGCTTACTATTAGAAGAGAAAAGAGATGTTTTAATACCTTTGAATGTGTGAGATATTAAAGTACACCAACTATTAATAAGAAGTAATTAGTAGTGAGCAGTTTGAAATGGTTTAATACTAGATAGTATCACAAAAGAAGAAAAAGCTCACTATACTTCTAGATATTAAAGAGTCTGCTGATTATTTATTACAACAATAACATCTTTACCACATTTTTGAGAAATTGGATGTATTCATTAACCAGAAACTTGATAATGAGTAGTTTGACAAGTAGCGATTGAAACCAGGGACAGCTATGAGTATGATAAGTAGGTGAAAATACTTTTTTTTGTTCCAGAGAGTCTGAATAAAAAATTTAAGATGATGACTGTATTCTAAGAATCTTTTCGTGGAGTTTTTCAAAGCAGATATGCTGAACATAGCTCCTAACATTTTATGTGCCTAGAGTCCTCTGTATTCCCCTAACTAATGAAATGCTGTTTTGTATTTGGGTGATTTATAGTTTCAGAGCACTTTGAAAATACATTAAATGTTCCACAATAAGTCATAATACTGTTATAAGAAAGGCTGTATAAGCAGTCAATTTTCTTTTCTTTGTTATTAGAATTTTTTTCCCTTAACTCTGTCTCCTACACTTCCTTTCTAAGGGGAGAAAGCTAAAGGGACAGTCGGAACATGGGATTTAAAGGGTATTTTCATCGTGCAGATCAGGCAGTGGGTGCAACTGCAGCATGAACTGAGTCTTGCAGATAAAGGAAGAAAGAGAAAGAAAAAGTTGGAATTTTTTAAAAAAGAATTTTATATTTTTATCTATATTCCTTATTGTTTTAATACACTAAAATGCTCTCTTTCCAAAAAATTTACATTCACCCAAGGCAGAGAAGTTTTTATCAAACCATTATACTTATTGAATCATCATCTCCTATTCCTAATACAAATGATAAAATATGTTTCCATCCTTTATATGCTGTGGGCCAGAGTATGTCTCCAGAAAGGAGAATGGCAGTCAAGTTGGTACAGATTTTCAGTTACAAATTTATGAGAAATAGGAAATTCTGAAAACAAAGAGTTCGTATGAAAAAATTCTAATTCTAGTCATCGTTTGTTCATATCTTATCTCAAAATATTTAAATATACCGCATTTTGTGATATGATTATGATATAATAATGTCATGATATAGAGAATACGATATATAGTAACTTACACTATAAATGCGGTATATTTAGAGATTTTTAAGATTTGGCAGGCAAAGAAGACTAAAATTTAATTTTTTTCATAAGGATGAGCTCTTCAGTTTCACAGTTTTCTATTTATTATAAATTTGTGATTTAAAATCCTATATCAGCATATAGGAGCATCATTTTAATGCGCTCAAGCTGTTCCCTTTTCTGTTTCTAACAGGGCCATCATCTGAGCAGATACAGGCAGTAAGCCTGTTCATTGCACAGTCATATCCTCCCAGTGTAGATGGTAGTTTTCTTAAAGTTTTTCACTGATTCAAAATAATGTCCTATAAAGCCTGGTAGTTATTTTGGGTTATACCTTAGGAGAGTGGATTCCTTAGAATTGGTGATTTTCAGTGTGGTCCCCATGACCACTGTATTAGAATCATAAGGAGGTTTATTAAAACCACAAGTTCCTAGGCCATATTCCAAATCTCTGGAATAAAATTCTCTGGCTGGAGCCTAGGAATTGACTTTTTTTCTTCTTTTTTTTTTTAACCCTCACCCGAGAATATTTTTTTTATTGATTTTAGAGATAGGGAAAGGGGGTGGGGGTGGGGGGGTAGAGAGAGATAGAGACATTGATGTGAAAGAAACATCTATGGGTTGCCTTCCCGTATGCGCCCTGACTGGGGCTTGAACCTGCCACCTTTTGGTGTACAGGATGATACTCCAACCTATTGAGCCACCTGGCCTTGGCAGGAATTATTTTTAATAAGCAGTTCAGATGCTTCTTAGGCCCACTACAGTCTGAAACTCACATTCCTGGATTGAGGATTTTTGCATTTAAATATTTTTTCTTACACTTTTATTCTTTTTAGTTTCCAACTTAGAATGCTTACCCTGAATTTATTATGAGAGTATTTAATTACATACATTGATAAACTAGTCATTGAATTCTAGGCATACTTTAAAAATTGTAAAAGAGTAATAAATCCATTTCCCATAACTAATTCATTAGTTTTAATTTCACTTGCTTGGGTGGTGGCGGGAGTAGCGGGTAGCCAGCTCTTTTTATGAACCTCACCAGTAGCAGGCATGGAAGGGACCCATTTGAGCAGGAAGTGAATAGAAATCAACAGTAAGGTAAAACCAAGTCAGACTATTTTTAGAATAACAAAGGGTCTTCTTTTGAGAACAGTGGGAAAATAATCACTAGAAGTATATTTGATTGACGGGTATTTTATGGCTTAGAATTCTTATAGCCCATGTTTCAGTTAATGTTCTAAGTGGTTTAAAAATAATATTTACCACCCAATTATACTTGGTCTTATGCCAAGTCCTTTATAAGACACTTCATGGTAGTGCCCTGCCATGGGGAACTTTAGGTGTAATATTAGTGGTAGTGTGACGAATAAACTAGAATAAATGAACCCAATGTAGGTAACCTAGACAGCTAAGTATTAGTCACATACACAAGAGACTAATGCAAAGAAAGAAGCTAGGATGTACAATACCGTCCCTTCTGAATGTTTGGGAAGGGCTCATAGAAAAAAAATGGACTTTCCAGAAGTTTCTTAATGGGCAGAGGGAGCGGTTGGAAGTCGTAGGAGAGTATTGACACTTAAGAGTTGAATTGGGGGGTCACAGACAGTGAAAGGAAGACTATGGCTACGTGAGGCATAGATGAAAGCCTCCCAGTACCGAAGCCAGGAGACTGGAGGGAATTTTTCACAAGCGGCCCTGCACCGTGGCACTTCTAGTGTGGTTGCTGGGTGGAGGGAACATATGGGTGCAGTGTCCCAGCAAAGGAGCACCCAGACCTCAGTGAATCACTGCATTCAAAGGCCAGAATAAAAGGACAGGATGAATATAAGCTAAAGGAGCGACCACATACAGATAACATATAAGAAAGAAGAAAAGGTTGGTTTTTCACCCTTATAATGATAAACCATACATGATTAGAGATACTATTACTAAATGGAGAGCTTAGGAAGGCTTAATAATGTTCTGAATGTACATGTGGGCTGTACAGAAGAGTAGGCACCTGTGAGGGGACGTATGGGGAGGCGGTCCATAGATGCCGCAGGATAAAGAACAGCAGCGTGTAAAGAGTGCCCGTTCAAGTCATGGGCTAAGAAGAAGGTGTGGAAATTGGTGATGCATAGTAAATACACTCAAGCATCTCTTTAATCAAAAAGTTCCCTGGGTAAGAAAAGATTTTCCCGCAGCCCATAGAGCAGCTCTCTTCTTAAATATTCATTACAACAAACCTTCCCCATAAAATAAAAATATCTTGAATAATCCCTTGACATGTGCTATAATGGTATTTGACCTGTAATAACAAAGCAGAAGGGACAGAGGAAGTGGGATTATGTCTATAATGTTGGTATGTGAGCTATCCGGAACTTCCCAGCAGTAGATCTACTCAGTTCCAGACTTGTCTGATTGAGGATTATCCGTGTTCACTTTTTCCCCCTCTTCCAAAGGCTTAACTTTGTTCCTGAGAAAGGGAGGAAGTACAGTCAATTTTCTCCCTAGTTAGAAGTGCCTGTAAAGGATTTGATTGGTGAGAAGATTAGAAGCTGGATGAAGTTTCAGACTTATCTGTGGATTTCATTTAACGGAGACTTTCCTGTTTTCCGTGGATGATCAAAATTTGCCTGGGTGTTAGAACCTGGAGTTAAGGTAGCTCTATCATAAGTATAAGGGGATTTTCTAAGGTTTTATGCTAATGTTTCTCTCATTTCTGCAGATGGTGCTTGGCAGTTTTCATTTAATGTGAAATTTTACCCACCAGACCCCGCCCAGCTATCTGAAGATATCACCAGGTACTTGACTGTAAAAAGGCAGGCTTCTTGGGAAAGTTGTGCTTCTCTTAAATTCTCCAGAAAAGAGCATGCTTACATTTGGTGACCTTATAATCATCCACAAATGGCAAACAACAGGCAACTGAATGAGAGCAAACATCTGATGAAAAGATCTGCCAAATCATAACTGTTCGTAGTTGAATCTTTGGTGCTAAGCCCATACTTCCCTCTGCCTGACCCTGGTGGGAAGACATGCAAAATTGAGATACTGTCATCCACCCACCACAGCCAAATTGGATGGGATTCAGCCTTAAATGATATAACCATTCTTAGTGCTCATGCTTCAAAACTTAGAGTAAAAAAATGTGTCTTTGGATGCTTATGCTTTTTATATAACCAATCTAGTACTTGACAGCCCTTAAAAAAAAGAAATCAGGCATACCTACACACACACATGTACATATGCAGATAAACATAAACACATGTACACTTAAGAGTTTATTTTCCATGACCTACAAAGGAAATGGTTAATTCCTTTTCACAAAAGAAGACATTAGGACAGGAATCCAATAAAACTATCCTGGCATGGTAACTGGGCTCTGAGTGTGAGAAGGTCCCTCTGTGAAATGGTCCCGGGTGCGATGCGCATCCTCGGCTTCTCTGCGTCCCACTTCGGAACCGACTCTCACTGTTTGGTAGTAAGTTTAGAGCCAGCCAGAGCGGTTTTGTGCAGTGTATGCTGAATCTTCTGTGTAAACCTCACCTCTGTGGGAGGTTTTTCAGAATAGGGAAATTACTCAGAAAGCTTCACTCTCTTGCTATGATTAAAAATAACTTAAGAGACATTTTAGGTAAAGGAGAGAAACTACTCCAGAGTATTTATTCTATGATTGCATTAAATTGGAAAATTTATAATTTCTTATTTTAAAATACTCCTGAATAATCTTGAGAACTATTCAGTTGTGGCTAATTTATGTCTGTGGAGCCTGTACACACCTGGGTTTGTAATTTAGTGCATGGTTGACTTATATCTACTGGTATAATGTGTGTAAAGCCCATAAAGTAATTAGACATTTTTACATCTGAATTACATGGAGTTTGCTTATATCATTAGCTTAAAGTCATATTTAGAGGGACCTTAAGACTTTTTCCTAGTCCTCAGCTTCATATTAGCAATTTATTTCTCATATGAAAGGTACAAGGTGTATTTTATTATTATACCTGTATGCTGGGCCATGAAAGATATTAAAACTTATCAATGGCAACACTTCCCTGGGAATCTCCCACAATTAGTTTTATATCTGTAAACCTTAAAAGCAAAATAACAAAGGAGATAGGTCAGCTATTAATGGAAATATTTTTATGTTATCTTGACAAAATTATTTGGAAAATGTTTTATAGTCCCCAAATCTAAAACTGTTTACTTATACTGATAAGATTCTGAGTTCTTAAGGTAGTAGTTCTTCAGTTAGTCTTCATATTAGTTGGGTCCTAGGAAATTATCTTTAAAAAATAAGAAGTTGAAACCGTTAATATCAAGAGACTACCTCACCAGGAATGTAGGAAATTGAGAGCAAAGTTTACAATGGCATAGCTGTTGAGTTACCTGAAATTTGTCTCAGTCATATGGCAAAATATCAAAATAAGATTTCCTTAAGTTTAGCTGGGACTTAATAATTATATTTAAGAACACCATTTTTATATTATAATACCCGCTCCCCCCCCCCCCCCCCC